CCGTAGAGGAGGGACGAGAAGCGGCAGTGGAAGTGTTGAACATGGGTGCGACACACAACGCTTCGCAACCCCGTACAAGTCGTTATTTCAAGGGGGTGGGATAAGGGGAAATCGGGGGACTATTATGATTTTCGGCATAGCGATGGCGTTAGGCGGGCTGACACTTCGGCATCGTATAGGCACTACACGTGCACCACTCTATTGGTTCTAAATCGTCCAGGGGGTGACTTCAAGAGCACCTTGGTCGCTACACGGTATATCGTGGCATTCATCAGAGGTTTTCTGGACTTCATTCCACCAGGCGACTGTGCCCCCTTCCGTTGTGACATACCATGCATGACAGGCTCCCTGCCAGATGCCAGAAAAAGGGCGTAGGAGAGACAGCGTCTGCTGAAACGATGCGAACCCAGCTCATGATCCTTGCGTACATGTACAACCCCCAAAAATTGCCCAGGTGGAAGAAAAAAAAAAGAAAAAAAAAACCCCCAAGAATCATCCGGCAAGCTTCGGGTAAAAAGCCCCCCATTGCAGTGTATTCCGCCGCAGGCTGGCCGCTATCTTGATCCCTGCCTCGCACGTTCCCCCTTGGCCCGGCTACTTCGGTATGGCGCGTCTGTTCGCTTAGACGTTACCAGGGCCCTTGGCCGACACTCGCGGTGGACGAGGGGGCCTCAATTCTGCGCAGCCATTGTACCGACCGACGGTGCTGCCCCGCAGGGCTGCAGCCAAATTCAAACACCCTGTGAAGCTCCCGCCAGCTGGACCCCTTCTAATTGCCCCACCGCTGCCGCTTGGTCACCGTCGCGTACCATGTATTCCAGGCAGCCTCTTTCCCTGCCCCGCGGTTGCAGCTCAGACGTTGGGATTTCGAGAAGGACATCAAAGACGGCCGAGGTGGGATGCGCATCCCTTCCAATTGAACTTCATGGGTTGTATCGTCCCTGCAAATGAGCAGCAAGAATGGTGCGTGCGAGTCAACGCGTCCTACAACTCCAAAGGCTTTCCTGGCGTCCAGGGGCCAAAGGGACGTTCTTTTTAGGGTTTCGCTGTAGGAACGAGCATCCATGAGGCGAGCTTCAAACATTGCTAGCCGACATGTGTCTTTCTGTGGGTCGCGAGTGAGCGTGTCATGTATCGGTAGTTGTTAAAAGGAGTTGCTCCGGGATTGTTGACTGTTGCTCGTCCTCGGCTGGATGCTCCTCCCTGGCAAAGTCGCCGTGCCTCGCTGTGCTTCGCCGCATTTCCATCATGGTTGGCCCCAAAGCTCATCCTTCAAGGTCGTCTTGGCCGGGTCTTGAGCCTTGCCCTGGGGAGCCTGACGCATATGGGGGCCGTGTCAAATGCAAGGTCGATATTCAAGAACGGCCATAGCCGAAGGGCTCGCTGGAGATGGTCGTATTTGGCACCGTCCTGTACCTGTACATCCGCGAACGAGATTGACTGCCGCCACGATGCCGATGCCAGATGCCAGATAATCTCTGGAGCGCCTTATTGTTTGGACCTGTGAAGGTCGAATATTGAGACCAAAATAGAAGCAAGTTGGGTTTTCCTCCCTCTGCCAGAGGACTCTATTGCACAGAGAATCTGGTGTTCCAGGGCGGATCCATGTTGAGGACGGGTTTCTCCGAGATCTTGGGCTTCAAACAGGTCTTCGTAGCTATATTATTGCAAAAGCGCCGTCCCCTGTTGCAAGGGTGAGTGAGTTTCGGCACATGTCAAGGGCGGCCAGGTGATTTTATGCGTACAACCACACCACAAGCTTAAGGCTCGGGATATTCATTGCCACAACCAACAGCCGAAATCATGTAATAAATGGTGCTGGCCAACAAGCCCTCGAGATGCTTCTTGGCTGGGCAACCTGTGTTACGTCGGGCGTTAACACGTGCCTAAAAGGGAGACGGTAAATCAACCGACAAGGACTGAGGATGCATCGTTGAAAGCTATTGTTGGCGGGTGCAAACCGCGGCAATACCATGAGGGGGGCCGTTGATATCAAGACCCGCGATTCTGCCGTCGCCGCCTATGGTGCCATGGAAAGACAGAGGCGATGAGGTTGGAGGAGTTTCAGAGAAAAATCACTACATGTACTCCAACGACTGCTGCCGAAAGCCAGCAGTGCGAAGACGTCATGCATGGTGGCGCCGGCGCGGATGGTGTCGCGTCCATCACCGCCGACGCATTTCTCCCTTCCCAGGAATGATTGTGCGCAGGGTCGCCAATGTGAAGAAGTTAGAATTTGGCTCCAAGTCGCATCAGAAGTGGGAAGGAATCTGGCTTCATCAAATAGCACTGTTCGTTTTGATGTCACAGGGTTGATGAATGTAACCAGGTCAAACGTGGCTGGGCTATGTTGAGCAATATGCTGCAGAGAAAACCGCGACTCCAAGCCCCAAATCGTGACAAGTCATCTGCGAGCTGCGAATACCTACAAGTCGGGACCCAAAAGGTCGACCGGCCTGCTACAAGCACGTCGACGGGCGTCAAATACCGAAGCTGAGAAGGGAGGGCAGCTTGGTGATTGGTCTTCCAATGCCAGGCGCAGGGCGACAGCGGGCGGGGATGGAGACTCAGGGTCCGGCCGAGCATCCGGGACGCGTGGTCGTATACGGGATGGAGATTCCCAGCCTCAGAAACAGCTAGGTCGGGTTGAGGCTAGATCAGGGGCGTGAAGCTTTTCGGTTGTCGCCATGAGTAAGTACTTACCGTGGGTAAAGCACGCACATGACGGAGGTCCAGGGCAGAAGAGGCTCTGGCAGTACCGGCTCCAGCCGATCGCGCCAGGCTAACGAAGCTTGACTGTGCGCATAGAAAATACATGGGACAACGCAGGCACCAGCCAAAGCAAGGGGAAGGGGCCAGCAGGCTGGTCGGTCAGGTACGAGGACCTCGTTCTGGCTTGGCTAAAAGCAAAGGCCCCCCAGCTTCTCGTGTCTTACCTAAGGCACAATTTTCCATTCCAGCCAATGATGAGAAACGATCATTGATTGCTGCTGCCAAGAGATTGCTTGATTTAAGCCCTGCGATTCCCGGCCCCGGCAGGAACAAGGGGTGGTAGTCTACCATGTACGAAGGAAAGGGAATGTACGATCCAGGCCCTGAACGGCTGGTCTTCTTATCAGTCGTTGCTCCTGGCGGCGGAATACGAGGGCAGGAAAGGATGGCCCATCGTAGGCAACAACCATAGTTTTCCTTCGAGCGCAATGCTCCTGGCCGCCCCCCTCCCTGGCCTGTCCATGCACTAACCCCCACCTGCACCTGCCCTCTCCTGGCTCTGTGCCTGCCTCCTTTTCCCAAAAGCAGCAGTTCAGGCACCCATTTAACGATTCCCGTCTTGTTCTCCTGCTCCCCCTTTTGCTGCCGCCTTTCCGCCTTCCGTTAGCCGATTGAGACTTCCCTAAACTCTCTCTCTCTCTCTCTCTCTCCACACCCACACCACCATCTTCGTCTCCCATCGCATCGGCTAAGTTATCTGGCTTTTTCGCCGCCCATCCTCCTGACCTCGATCCTGTATTTGTGTCGATCGGCTGTTTTTCATCATTAGCTACCTTCATCGCTGCCCATCTTTTTGTTCTCCATCTTCACGTCCCCGTGTTCCACGCCGCGCCGTTATCCCCTGATCCTTGATTCTTATCTAAGGAGGAAAGCCAAGCCCATCAAGTGGACTCGGACCGTCACCACCCCATCACATCAACAAGAACAAACCAACAATCCCATCTACTACCAGCACGGCCTTTGCGTTCACAGCATTCTGCGCCCTGGGCATCCTTTCCGCCCGTTCTTGCACACAACGTGCCTTGAGCTTCTCTGAGCTTCGCGAGAACAACTCCATAACCACAATTTTCCTCGGCAATCTTGCCCTGGATACGACCCTCTCATTTCGGAACATTCGGTTTTCGCCACATTCTGCACCTGCAGCTCATTGACCTTATCAGCAACACGTCCCAACCCCAACAACCCTGCCAACGAACGAGACGGGCCTCCTCATCTGAGCTTGCTCACGTACCCGTGCTTCTCAGTAGCCCAGCCACATCTCCGTGTCTCCATTTTGCTGCGATCGGCGCGCGCAAGAGAAAAAATTCCGGCACTCTCCTTTCTCCTCAATACCATCATCTCGATAGCGTGGCACCAGTCCCAATCGCGTGTCATCGACGTACCCATCCGGTCGCGAACGCTGCGTTAGTGCATCTCCCTGGAGCACTGAAAAAAGAACCTACAACCCTGGACCAGCCAGCCGACCAGCCAGCCAGCCGCTCTCTTGCAGCAGCCAATCCCTCGTAGCACAGCCCACTTTCTTCTTCTCCCACGCCGCTGAGGCCCTCCCATCCTGTCATTCGCGCAACCTCGTTCCGCTGTCACGAACCTTCCCCTTCACTCACCTCACCTCTCACTTCCCTCCCTTTCCACTCGAGCGCCGTGCACTTTGGGCGCCAACGTTTCGAGAGCGTCTATAGCGGGATTACCTGTGGCATTTGCTTCCATCTTCACTCGACTGCCAGCCTCTGCATCACCTTCTCACAAGCAAGCCGTATACTGCGCCTTGGCCTGTTCAACCTCCGGGTGCTGCTCCGATCCGTCCTCCACTCTGCACTTCTTGGCCCGCTACTCTTGAGACTTCACCCTCCGTCGCCGCCATGTCGTCCTCCCGCCCGTCTTCCCCGGCTCAGGTCCTCCCCTTGACGGAGAAGCCTGCAAGCGCGAGTTACTCATTACACCCAGCCTTCTACATTGGGTACGTCGTCGTCGTCGTCGTCACCGTTGGTCCTGTCGCCTCCCATGTGTTGCCCGCTAACCGGTCCTAGCGCCTGGATCTTCTTCTCAAACTCGACGATCCTGTTCAACAAATGGCTTCTTGACATGGCAGGCTTCAGTAAGTTCCCTCGGCTGTGGATGTTGAATCTTCACTAACCAAGTCGCAGAATATCGTACGTTTCCATGAGTGTTCATCGCCAGTGCTCTCTCTCCGCCAGGTCCTTGTCTACGTGCTAACACTTCGCAGCTGTCATTCTTACTTGCTGGCATCTCATTTTTGCCACTGTCGCAACACAGATTCTCGCGCGCACGACGACTCTTCTCGACAACCGCCACCAGGTCAAGATGACTGGCCGCACGTATCTCCGTGCCGTTGTGCCCATCGGCTTGTTATACTCTGGATCTCTCGTCTGCTCAAACTTGGTCTACATGTATCTCTCCGTCGCCTTCATCCAGATGCTCAAGGCTGGTGCCCCCGTGGCCGTTCTTTTCGCATCCTGGGCTTTTGGCGTCGCCGATCCTGATCTGAACACGCTCTACAACATTCTCTTCATCGTGGCCGGCGTTGCCCTTGCCTCTCTGGGAGAGATCGAGTTCTCGATCGTCGGCTTCATGTTCCAGGTTGCCGGCATTGTCTTCGAGGCTGTCCGTCTTGTCATGATCCAGGTCCTGCTGAAGGGTGATGAGTCTGCTCAGAAGATGGACCCTCTGGTCAGCCTGTACTACTACGCTCCCGTCTGCGCCGTCACCAACTTTTTCGTCGCCGCCATTGCCGAGTTCCACCGATTTGAATATGCCGATTTCGAGAAGACCGGCTTCATCATTCTCATCCTCAACGCCAGCGTGGCTTTCGGCCTCAACGTCGCCAGTGTCTTCCTCATCGGCAAGACGTCTTCACTCGTCATGACCCTGACTGGAATTTTGAAGAACATTCTCCTCATTGGCGTTTCCGTTCTCATCTGGAACACGTCGGTTTCCGCCATGCAGTGCTTCGGCTACCTTCTCGCCCTCTTCGGCCTCGTCGTTTACTCTACCGGCCTTGACCAACTGAAGACGCACACTGCCAACACATTGATCTGGGCTCGCAATGCCGCTACGCAAGGGGGCGATGACGGCCGTCTCTCGCCGCTCGTGCGCCGCACGCTTGTCATTGCCGTTGTCGCCTTCGTTTTCGTCGCCCTTGTCATGGGCTACATGTACGGTGGCTCGCGCGACTTCCTCGTGGCTGGCGCCGCCGCGGCCCAAGACGGAGCTGGCGGACAGTAGACGGCAGGTCGGAAACAATTTAGACATATACGAGTGGGGATCGGATTATGAATGGCAGCAGACCTGCTCGTCTTCGGGCTGGAGCAGGGAGGCGCCTCGTGATTTTTTTGCTTATGAATACGGCAACAGCATGGAGTTTTTCGACGCAGACGTAAAAAGTCTGAGTACGGCACGGGGTTCTCTTTCCGGGGCTTTGGCGCTGTTTGGACAGTTGGGTGGTCGGGTGTTTTCTGAATAATGTGCAATTGTAATCATGTAGACTTGCCACATGGCGATGGATTCAAGACGAATGAGAACTGACGTCGCTGTTATCATGATATCTTGCTCGAGAATTGCATGACGTGTTGCATGAGGTCAAGGAACGCAAAGGACAGACGAGCAAGAGAAGAGCAGCTTTGACAGGTGCCATCATAATAATTCTACAGCGAGCCCTAATATTCGTCTTGCCCATAAACCGAGGTGAACTTCGTGTAAGGCCCAAACAAAAGTACATGAGTAATAAACACACCCAAAGTCCTGCAGACTCGTAAAGACCAAAAGAGAAAGAAAAAGAGAAACCCAGCGGATGATTGACTGACTACCGGCTCCGATCCCGCCGGTCACGGTCCCGACGCGGCGTGGGGCTCCTGTCCCTCCGGCTCCGCCGATCGCGGTCTCGATCCCTGTCACGATCCCTATCGCGGTCACGGTCACGGTCACGGTCACGGTCGCGGTCACGGTCACGGTCCCGATCGTCACGGTCCCGGTCTCGATCTCGATCCCGGTCGCGGCTCCTATCTCTGCGCACGCGGTCCCTATCTCTCGAGCGGCTGGGGCTGCGGCTCCGGCGTCTGTCCCGATCTCGATCCCGTTCTCGGTCTCGGTCGCGGTCCCGGTCTCGGTCCCTGTCGCGATCGTCCCTCTTCACCGGCATGTCGTGCGGCCTCTCCCTGTCGCGGCCGGGGGGCACGTAGCGGTCAATCTCCTCGAGGTCGCGCTTGCGCTTGGCGTCGGGGGAGCGCATGTCGTCGGCGGCGCTGACGCCGGCGCCCGAGGCGCGCTTGTCGTCGATGCCGGGGATGGGCATGCCCTTCTCGCGGGCTTCGCGCTGGGCGGCGAGGTAGGCCTTGGCCTCCTTCTCGCGCTTGCGCACCTCGTCCATCTTGGTGTGCGACGCGCGGTCGCCGGGCGGGTCCGTGTTGCGGTACGGCGGCGGGTTGTGGCGCGGCGGCGGCGGCGGCGAACGGTCGCGCCGCGGGCTGCGTGAGCGGTACCTGTCGCGGCGGGGACGGGAGCGTGAGCGGCTCCGTCTGTCGCGGTCGCGGCGGGGGCGAGAGCGGGATCTGTCGCGGCGCGAGCGCGAGCGTGATCTGTCGCGGTTCTCGACGGTCATAGCGGGCCGCGGGAGCGAGAGCGGGTGCGGTCGCGACGGAGACGGGGAGCGGGAGCGGGAGCGAGAGCGAGAACGACGTGTGCGGGAGCGGCTTCGCCTGTCGTGGCGGTCGAAGCGGGAGCGGGACCGACTCCTCTCGCGGCGACGGGAACGCGAACGGTCGCGTCTGTCTGTTCTGTCCCGGGAGCGAGAGCGGTCCCGGCGTCGGCGGTCGTAATCGTGGCGCGAGCGTTGTCTGGATGAATCTTCGCGTCGGGTGTCCCTGTCTCTTTCTCGATCTCTGCCGCTGTCTCTGTCTCTGTCCCTGTCTCTGTCTCTGTCTCTGTCTCTGTCCTTCTCCGTGTCATCACGAGCCACCGTCTTTGACTGGCTTCGGCTTGCCGGTCGCTCTTCCTTGGCGTCTGCGGGCTTAGGCGTAGCAGATTGGCTTGCGTCTCCTTCGGGTTTGACCACGGCCGAAGATGCTCTCCTGTCGGACACCATGGGCGAACCGCGAGAGCTTTCTTTCTGCAGAGGCTTAATGGCGGAGGCTGGTGCCATCCTTCTAGGCGGCGGCGCCAGCGCTTCGTCGATTTCCATTTCGACCTTGACAGAGGAGTTGCGGTTGCTCTCGCGAAGCAGGTCGGCCAGTGCGTCCTGTTCGAGGCGCTCCAGCTGTTCCTTGGACAGGTTCTCTCTCGCCTGCTTCGTCTGTTCCTCTCTCTCTTGTCGTCGTCGCTCTCGGTCCTCGCGATCGCGCCTCTCCTGGCTCCTGTCGCGACTCCGGCTCCTGTCGCGGCGGCGATCTCTGTTTCGGCTGCGACTCCTCGACTTGTGGCGGGCCGGGTCGCGGGCGCGTTCCTCGTCTCGCTTGCGTCTCCGCTCGTCTCTCTCCTTCTCGCGTTCGGCTTCCGCCTTCTCGCGGGCGGCACGGCGCGCGTCGCGCTCCTCCTTGCGCTTGGCTTCTTCCTTTTCCCGCTCGCGCTCAATCTTCTTCCTCTCCTCGCGCGCAATCTTCCTCTTGCCCTCCTCGATGGCGGCCTCGAGCTTGCGCAGGTTCTCGCGCTCCTGCTCGCGGGCGGCGCGGCGGTCGAGGGTGTCCTGGTGGTACTCGTCGTCGGTGCGGGCGCCGCGGGCCTGCTCGGCGGCGGCCTCGTCGTCGCCAATGTCGGCGCGGCGCAGCTGGCGGATGCGGTCCTCGATGGCGTCCTTGTCGATGAGGCGCGCGATGACGGCCTCGGCCTTGTGGTAGACGCCGGAGCGCTCGAGGGCGCCGTCGATGAGGGCGGCGGCCTTGCCGCGGTCGAGCGTCAGCAGCTGGCCCGGGTTGCGCTCGACCTCGAGCTCGGCGACGCGCAGGATGTCCTTGGTCACCTGGGCCTGGTAGTCGCTCGCTTCGAATTTCTCCCAGATCTCCTTGCGCATGGCGTCGTAGCCGCCCTTTTTCTTGAAGCTGTGGGCGAGCGACTCTATGGCTGCGCGCGTCGCCGACGGCAGGGGCAGGTCGGCGGCTTTGAAGTTGCGGACGGGTGCTGGAGGTTGCTGTGGCTGTTGCTGCTGCTGCTGCTGCTGCGGTTGCTGCTGCAGGTGGGTGTCGGTGGCAGCAGCTGCAGCAGGAGGAGCGGCTGAGGCTGCTGGGGCTGGTGTGTCGGTCGCCATGGGAAGGGCCAGGCTAGCGGTGGTCGTGGTGGTGGTGATGGTGGCCGCAGCCGCAGCCGTGGTGGCCATTGGACGCAGTTGGCCTGCAGTCAGGCGTGATGGTCGCCTCTTTCTCAGTCAGTCTCGTAGTTTATTGGCATGATGAGACAGCTCCGTCACTGCACCGGGCCGGGGATCGAGCTAGGTTCGGTGGTGATGGGATCAAGTCGGCGTTGATGGATCAAGTCGGCGTTGATGGATCAAGTCGGCGTTGATGGATCAAGTCGGCGTTGATGGATCAATGTCGGCGCTGATGGATCAATGTCGGCGTTGATGGATTTGAATGGAGCAAACGCGTGATCGCCGTCTCTCGCAGGTGCAGTAGCTAGGGATCAGGGGACAGAGAGAGAGAGAGACTTTGACGTGATCCATGCGTTGCTGATAGCAGCTCACCGGCCTTATCAGCGGTGGGCCGGCGTGCTCGGTGTGCCCAGGTGTAGGCCACTGGCGAGACAGTACTTCAGGAAAGAGCCATGGAGCTTCTTCTGCTCACAATCCAATAAATTCTTCATTCTGCAACATCTTGCTCTCTATCCGCCTACAACAACTGTTGAGGCTCCTGGCGGCATCAATGCATGTTCTCTGACTCGATACTTGCTACAATGCAGCAGCTAAGAGAGGTTTCTGCATCATCACCAGAGACAAGATCGCATCATGACCTGCCTTGCGCCTTTGTCAAATTACGCAAAGCCGTCCCGGGCCCATCGCAATCTTCCCCGCTGCTTGTCGAGCACCAAGCATCGAACAGGAAGCTTAAGCTACCTACACGTTTGGTGCCAGCCTCTGATCCCGTTCGCCCCAGATCGACAGCCGTTGCGCAACCAGTGTGCCAGTCTCGCCGATCGCGACGCCAGAGTTCAAACACGAACCTTGCCAACGCTTTCAATCGGCACATGGCGTCAGTCCCTCACAATGTCAGTCCAACTGTCAATCCGTCACGGCATAAGTCCTTGACAGCGTCACGGCATAATTCCTTGATAGCGTCACGGCATAAGTCCATCGCAGCGCACCAAAAAAAGTTGGAGTCACATGAAGGACTGGAGACGCGTCTTGCAAACCAGTCTTGCCAGTCTCCCAAACCATAGCCGTTCAGTCTCTCCGCCAGACTGGCAAGGCCCACGTTCGAGTTTGCCAGCATAGGTAGTTCGGACGATTCTCTCTGTGACAAGCAGCACACGCCGACTTGTAATGACACAGCACTGCTCCGCTTCCACTAAACAGACCCAGCGATGTAACACTGCAGTCAGCCTTCCCGCTCCCGCCCCTAAACCTCCCACACACCAGAGAGGGCTTGGGTCTGGCAAAGTCAACCAACACCTGCCAGCTTGAACTCAATCAACTTCAACGCCGCCCAACGCGGTCCCCCTTCCATGCTTATTCAGGCACACCCAACATGCGTCTACAATTTGACATCTGGCGCTACGGCGACCGCAGGCTGGGCATGGTTCTTTGGGGCCAGGGCCCAGGGCCCAGTTGGCCCCCATCATGAGACGAAACCCCCCTCCTTGGCTCAGACCTCACACGTTTCAGCCCGGGCAACCGGCCTCACAATGGCCCTCGCTGCCCACAGCCTCACGCGCGTCTTCAATGACCCGTTCCATGGTGACACACACTGCGTTTTTTCGTCTCGACCTGCTCGTGAACGCTCCGACCCCTCGCCGCCTGCCGGTAGCGAGTCCTGCCGATGCAACATCAGACGTCAAGCGACTGGGCCGGTCTGGGGCCTGCCGGTCTGGGGCCTTGGAGCGTCCCAGTCCATCCATCTCGTCTGTTTCCTTTCCTTTCCTTTCCTCTTCCATCACTCTCTTGGTCGTGCTGTTGCTTCTGGTGAAGTGCCTTCCCTCCTTTTTTTGTCCACTTCGCTTTTTTCACGTCATCGTCAACAGAGTCGTTGGCGCCCAGACTGATCCTCCAAGCCTCTCAGTCTTTCCATTCATTTACTCCTGGACGAGTTTTTTTTTTCCACCTCTATTCGGTTCCGCGGACTGTACTCGATATTATTTTTTACCGGACAGAGTCCTCTCTTCATTCATTTTCAAATCAAGTTTAATTCTGTTGCTTTCCAGGTGAATCTCTTGGCTTGCACGCTGCGCCTCAGTTCTCATCGACGCAACACGCATGCAACAAGACCACCTGTCCAGCTTCCATGGAATCATAGATCGTATAGACTACTGAACTTCAGACAGCATACAAGCTACTGCTTCTCGACAGCTCGAAGAGACGACGGCTTCATAGCAGCCAGGACACACCATCAAGCCCTGCTGGACCGGCTTCTTTTTTCTTCTTCTACTATTCTCTCACACGTTCACCACACCCTCGTTCATCATGAGATTGCTATCAACACTGAGTGCAGTGTGCCTCATGGGCAACGCAGCCCACGCCATCCAATTAGACATTGACAGCGAACAATCGGTCAAGGACGCAGCGAGCACCATCGCCTTTGGTCTCGTGAGCTTCTACACAGGCAACAACACGGGCGATGTGCCCGGCAACCTCCCAGATCCTTATTTCTGTATGTAGCTCCGAAACAAAGCTTTGAACATGAATACTGACCAGCACAGGGTGGACCGCGGGCGCCATGTTCGGCACGCTTGTCGATTATTGGTTCCTCACGGGCGACGACACGTACAACGAGATCACAACACAGGCAATGGTACACCAGGCCGGCGACGAGGCCGACTTTATGCCCCTCAACCAGACACGCACCCTCGGCAACGACGACCAGGGCTTCTGGACGCTCTCCGCCATGATGGCCACCGAGGCCGGGTACCCAGACCCGCCCGCAGACCAGCCGCAGTGGCTGGCTCTCGTGCAGGCATGCTTCAACCAGTGGGCGCAGCGTTGGATCGAGGCGTCCGACTCGTGCGGCGGCGGGCTGCGATGGCAGATCTTCTCGTTCAACAACGGCTTCAACTACAAAAACTCCATCTCCAACGGCTGCTTCTTCAACATTGCCGCGCGGCTGGCGCGGTACACGGGCAATCAGACGTACGCCGAGTGGGCGGAGCGCGTGTGGGACTGGGAGGTCAAGGCGGGGCTCATCACGGACGAATTCAAGGTGTACGACGGTGTCGAAGTCGTCGAGAACAGCCCCGACTGCCCCAAGATTGACAAGAACCAGTGGTCCTACAACGCGGGCATCTACCTGCACGGGGCCGCCGTCATGCACAACGTGACGGGGGACGACAAGTGGCGCACGCGCACGGTGGGACTCCTCGACGAGACGGAGAAGACATTTTTCCAGAACGGCGTCATGTTTGAGCAGCGGTGCGAGCCCTTCAAACAGTGCAACATTGACCAGAGCAGCTTCAAGGGCTACCTCGCGCGGTGGATGGCGGGCACGGCGCAGGTCGTGCCGGATCTCTTTGACCGCATCATGGGCCTGCTGCGGCCCAACGCGCAGAGCGTGGCGTCGGTCTGCGTCGGCGACCCAGACCAGGGGTTCCCAGGCATCGGCGGCACGGCCTGCGGGCTGGCTTGGCAGCCGCGGGGCCAGTTTGATGGCCTCGTCGGTGTCGGCGAGCAGATGAGCGCCCTATCGGCCGTCATGTACACGCTCGTGCAAAAGGAGAGGACAGCGCCCGTGACGGCGCAGACGGGCGGCACGAGCAAAGGCAACCCGCAAGCGGGCATGGAGCCGCACTCGTGGGAGTTTAAGCCGATACAGCAGGCCGAGCGTGTGGCCGCCGGGTTCCTGACGGTGGGCATCCTGACGTCCCTCATGGCGGGGGTCTTTTTCGTCATGAAGGAGGAGACGAAGTGAGCCTGGCGACCGACTGGCTGATGATTGGCCTGTCTGATGAAGTCCTGTTTTTTTTTTTCTCTTGTCTACATGTGATTCGGCGTGGCGTTCTGGTGCGGCTTTGAAAGTCCATGACGGTGGGTGCCCAGGCAAAAGGACGTGGGCAGGGCGGAATGGGCTGGATCATAATGATGGCTGGAGGTTTAGTAAGCCTACCGATACCCAACGGCTGGAATACCATTATTATCCCTTGCTTTCTTATTCGGAGTATTTCGTCTCGTGTCTTTCTGTGTGATGAATCATATATGGTGGTCGAGCCTGATCTAGACTGTCGTTTGAGGCTGTGTGAGTGAAGTTGCAAGACGGAGGTGTAGTGATGGCACATGCAGGGAATTTGAGCCCATGGTTGTGCCCCGCCTTTGGCACATGCAGTGGAGGGACATGGTGGGGTGTGCAGGGATGGATACACGCAGGCCACAGGACATGGACCTTGTCCACGATGAAGGTCAGTCAATGGTATTGAAAGATCACAATCACTCCAGTGCCAATGCATCGACTGAAGCGTCAATTTCTCACATCAGAAAAACAACCACAGCCCCGCGAGCATCCGTTCAAGGCCAAAGACAACGCGGGGCCGAACAAGTACATGTACCCGTAGGGCGGATGCAGGACTAGCAAGACCCCCAGGCGCTTGCGATTGCCTAATGCAGCATGCGTCATCCTTTCGGGCCCGTCCACCGAATTGCAGCAGGAGCTCCCCCGACGGAGGGGCTGTTCTTGCCTTCGTTTGGCTGTTGGCGTCCGGGCAGGTGGGATGGCACGACTTCCCCGCGGCCAACTCGGGCTCTCCTTCCCTCGGAGTAATAAGATTGTCACGCTCGGTGTATATGGCAAGGTACTCTTGCTCTTGCGTCTGTCCTCCAGCTTCTCTCGATCCTCTTCTCCCTCTCCCTTACTCGAGCTCCCCTCATCCCCCCTCCCCCGCATCTCGACTGTTGGATCAGCACCCAAGAAGAAAGAAACAGCAGCCATGTCCTCCAAACATTTCCTCAATGATCCCGCCAAGCTGGTGACTGCTGCCCTGCACAGCGTCACCCTGACCAACCCATCCCTCGCTCTCGACACGCCCAACAAGACTGTCTACCGCCGGCCCAGCTCCAATGCGTCCCAGCAGGTAGCCGTCATCTCCGGCGGCGGCTCCGGCCACGAGCCCTCGTTCGCCGCCATGGTCGGTCAAGGCCTGCTCTCGGCCGCCGTCGCAGGCACCATCTTCGCCTCGCCCTCGCCGAGCAAGGTCCGCACAGCCATCGCCGGCCGCGTCGACAAGGACAAGGGCGTCCTCGTCACCGTCATGAACTACACCGGCGACGTGCTCAATTTTGGCGTCGCCGTCGAAAAGGCCCGTGCCGCCGGCATCGACGTCGAGATGGTCGTCGTCGGCGACGACGTCGGTGTCGGGCGCAAGGCTGCCGGCAAGGTCGGCCGCCGGGGCATCGCCGGCACGGTGCTCGTGCACAAGATTTCCGGCGCCGCGGCCGCCCTCGGCCGGAGCCTGAAGGAGGTGGCGTCCGTCGCGAGGCTCGTGGCTGAGAACCTCGTCTCCGTCGGCGCCAGTCTCGAGCACGTTCATGTGCCTGGCCGCGCCGTCGGTCAGGAGGACGGACTCGAGGCGAACGAGGTCGAGCTGGGCATGGGCATCCACAACGAGCCCGGGTCTGGTCGCGTCAAGGGCGTTGAGCTCCCCGAGCTCGTGTCCCAGATGCTGAAGCAGCTCCTTGACCAGGGTGACGCCGACCGCGCGTTCCTCAGTGTGAACTCGAACGAGGTTGTGCTGCTCGTCAACAACCTCGGCGGCGTCAGCGTGCTCGAGCTTGGCGGCATCACGGCCGAGGTCGCGGCCCAGCTTGAGGGAAGCTACAACATCAAGCCCGTTCGCATCCTCAGCGGCACTTACATGACGAGCCTCAACGGCAACGGCTTCAGCATCTCGCTACTCAACGTTGTCAACACGAACCTCGGCGGTCCCAGCATGATCGAGCTGCTGGATCACCCGGCCGAGGCCAACGGCTGGGCGGCGCCCATTGCCAAGGAGACGTGGGAGGCCAAGAACACGGCCACGCGCGAGGATGACGCCGTCAAGGCTCTATCCGCCGAAAAGAGCGGGCTCGAGTATGATGCGTCTGCGGCGGCATCTACTGTCAAGGCTGCGCTTGAGAAGGTCATTGCTGCTGAGCCCGAAATCACGCGGTACGACACTGTTGTCGGTGATGGTGACTGTGGTATCGGTCTGAAGCGTGGAGCTGAAGGTATGTTTTTTTTTTCGTTTCTTTTTTTCACACGTCTTCAACCCAAAGCTGAACTTGGCACTAACAATTTCAGCCATTCTCGCGCACCTTGCCTCCAACCCGCTGACCGGCGATGCCACGCTCGACGTTGCGTCCATCGTCCCCGTCGTGGAGTCCACCATGGACGGCACATCGGGAGCCCTGTACGCCATCTTCCTCAACGCGCTCGTCGGCGCCCTGCGCTCCGCCGGTTCCGGCTCTGCTGATGCCAAAGTCTGGGCCGCTGCCCTGCGCCGCAGCAGCGATGCCATGGGACGCTACACGCCCGCCCGACCCGGTGACAGGACGCTCGTCGACGCTCTGGCGCCGTTTGTCGAGACGCTCGAGTCGTCGGGTGACGTCGTCAAGGCGGCGGCGGCAGCTCGCAAGGGCGCAGAGAGCACAAAGGGCATGAAGGCGAGCCTCGGCAGGACGGTCTACGTTGGTGGCAGCGGTTTCGAGCAGGTGCCCGACCCGGGCGCGTGGGGTCTTGCCGTCTTCTTTGGCGGGCTGGCTGGCGAGGAGGGCTGGGAGGAGGTGTAATGCACGGGTTAGCGGATTGCTCTGGCGGATTTGCATCTTGGGCTGTAGGATAAGGACAAGCTGTTGGTGAATTCATGGGAATCGACCAGCGCGCGCGGAGGACATCACTCGACGGGACAGGAAAGGTGCCAACAAGTGATCGTAAAAAGTCGAGTCTTTTCAACGCCAAAGTCGTAAACGAGGCCATGTATGTGGATCCCTCCCTCTGTCTGTTCAAACCCGCCAGACGATTTCCATGCGCGTTTTCAAATCCCGTGGCCCCGGCTGCTGTGTCCCTTCTGGCCGAGACACTAATCTCACTGGCGGTAGGGCTCGCGGCCCAGGCAGCTGGGCCCGTCCGTATCCTCCGCCGCGACGCCGCGGCGCCAGACCCCCGCCCCCAAGGTTGATATTTCCCGTACGCCCCTCACTCGTTCCGTCTACGCGCTCAGCTCAGGAGAACCAGGATGACGCTGTCGCCTCGCAGGAACCTGTAGAACGTCAGTGTCCGTGTCCGTGTTGGCGGGTGACTCTCCGGGCCGTGATGAGTGCAAAGGCGCAGAGGTGCAGAGTGGCGAGCATGGAGGGAAACGCACATTTTGCTGATGAACCTGTCCTTGTTGACGGGCCTGCCCTTCTTCCCGTCTGCGTTTCGCGGCGTTTCGGTCCACATTTCCTTCTGTTCTGGTGTCAGCTTCTCTCTCGTCTTTGGCCACACTCCGGGGACGCCTCGGTGGCGGCTCGGTAGTGATGGGACTACGGCGGGGATTCAGACGAGGCGGGTACGTACGACGTTCTCTAGGACCCTGTACACGCGCACGTCAGCGTCAATTTCTCAGGTACATCACAACTACACGCAAGTCTTGCTCCAGGGGGGGACATGGCACCAGGGGGACAAGTCCAGGGCATGGCGACGAGGCTTCAGGGGAGACACGACGGGGGACGCACATGTTGCAGTGCCGGTCAAAGGCCTTGACGCGCGCCAGCAGCTTGCGGTTGTTCCGGATGGAGATGAGGACCTGGGTGTGGGAGCGGACGGCGGTCTGCAGGATGGAGAGGGGCCCGGCGCTGAACTCGTGCTCCTCGAGCTGGGCGATTTCGTACTCGGTGAGCTCGTTGCGGGGCTTGGTGAGGAGCTCTTGGATCTTGGGGTCGGACATTGTGGCGGTGGACGGGTGGGTGTGTGTGTGTCTGTGTATGTGTGGGAGGGGGCACCGAGGGATGAGATTGAGGGTGTCGTTTCGGTCGTTGTTTTTGGCTGTTAGAAAAAGCTATGTGAGGCGTGCTCCGGGTTTTGCGTCTGAGAATCGTCGGCGTCAACAGAGTCGAGACAGGCGCGGATCGTGGGGTGGTTGTCGCGTGGGGTGTCGTCGTTGGTGCTGGGCGAGGCTCGAGTGGTGGTGAGCAGGCTGCGGCTGCGGTAAGGTATCGAAGAAATTGGAGGTTTGGAGTGAATCGCACTGCTTGATTGGCTGTGTGCGGAGGAAGCTCGGGTCCACCCTGTTCGGCATGGAAGATCAAGGGGCCGGCGCATCTACGTGGAACCTCAGGGCGGTGTCCGCTGGAAGTACAGTGAGGTGCTTGGGTGCTTGCCCGGCCAAGGGTCCGTGCTCCCTACACCTGCAGGATCGCCAGCTTGATTTCCCAAGGTCCAAAAACCAAGGTCCAAAAACCAAGGTCCCAAAAGGCTACCCTCGGCCTCACAGATTTGTATGGAAACCCAATTGCCGACTCCTCCTTATACCCCGACATAGCCGATACCCCTCTCCTCCCCTCCCGTCGTCAATGCGCCACCCTGGGTCACCGAGCGTATACAACTCCCAGTCTCTCGATGTTTTCCAGAGCCATTGCCCTGCGCGCTGGACCAGCAGCCGCCTCGTGTCGGATTTGCAGCCACAGGAGTTTAAGCATGCCTCTGCGGGCCAAGGTCAACAATGTCGGAGGGGCGCGAGCACAGGTGAGCCTAACCCGCGGCTGCCAGGCAGCAAAGCGAGCCCGAGACGGAAAGCCAATGCTGACGCTTCGTCCCAGATGTCGACGAGAATCAGGCCCGAAGACTTCAAGCCCCTCTCTGAAGATGACCCCGACGATGTCGTCTTCAACAGCGCATTCGGCGTCCGCTCCATCGAGCTCAACCGCCCCAAGAAGCTCAACTCCCTGAACGCCTCCATGATC